AATTATCAATAATCCTGTATATTAGGTAAATTGATACTGGAAAATCTTAGTAGAGCAACTTTCCACGCTACGGCCAGAAAGATGACTGCGGTGGCGGCACATGAAGTGGCGGGGCAGGGAGGGTGTAGATGTGTCACCAGAACGCGATTTTTCTGTTTTGCTCTGAAAGACTGGGCTCTTAAGTATCGAAAATTTAATTTTGCTATAAAATATAAAATATCATTTGTTTAAATTAAACTTTATGCCAATTGATTGCTCCTTAAATGCTCCAGCAGAATTCGAAATTAATTAATTCTTAAATCATTTTTAAAATATTTAAGTATCGAAAATTTAATTTTGCTATAAAACATAAAATATGTTCTTTATAAAATTAAACTGTATGCCAATTAATTGCTCCTTAAATGCTCCAGTAGAATCTGAAATTTTTCTGTCTATTGCTATTAGTTAATTTATAATTAATTTTGAGATAAAGTGATCCTATTTGAGTAATAGCGCCATCATCAATAGTATGTAGTAACATTCTATAGTTGAAGTCATTTTATTGAACAAAAATTGATTAACTCTCAAGGTGGTACGTAGAAAAGACTCTAGATGGCATAAACACAAAAATATTATTAACATGGTTGTCTAATCCATTCATAAGAATCCATAATTTCAAAACTCACCCATCAATACTTTTTTTGTTTTATGCCATTAGGCATCTATTCTACGTACCACCTTGAGAGTCAATCAATTTTTGTTCGATAACATGACTTTAACTATAGAATGTTACTACATTCTATTGATGATGGCGCTATTACTCAAATAGGATCACTCATCTCAAAATTAATTATAAATTAACTAATAGCAATAGACAGAAAAATTACGGATTCTACTGGAGCATTTAAGGAGCAATTAATTGTCATACAGTTTAATTTTAAAAAGTAGATATTTTATAGCAAAATTAAATTTTCGATACTTAAATATTTTAAAAATTATTTATAAATTAATTAATAGCAATAGAGGTAAAGCAATTTCGGATTCTACTGAAGCATTCAAGGAGCAATCAATTGGCACATAGTTTTATTTAAAAAAAATTGATATTTTATGTTTTATAGCAAAATTAAATATTCGATACTAAAATTTTTTTAAATTAATATTAAGTTAAGTAATAACAATAGAGGTCGAGCAATTTCAGATTCTGCTGGAGCATTTAAGGAGCAATTAATTGGTATACAGTTTAATTTTTAAAACTAGATATTTTATATTATATAGCAAAATTAAATTTTCGATACTTAAAATTTCTTAAAAATTAATTTTAAATTAACTAATAACAATAGAGGTGGAGCAATTTCAGATTCTGCTGCAGCATTTAAGGAGCAATTTATTGGCACACAGTTTAATTTTATAAAGTACATATTTTATGTTTTATAGCAAAATTAAATTTTCGATATTTAAATTACTTAAAAATTAATTTTAAATTAACTAATAACAATAGAGGTGGAGCAATTTCAGATTCTGCTGGAGCATTTAAGGAGCAATTAATTGGCATACGGTTTCAGTTTAAAAAGTAGATATTCTATATTTTATAGCAAAATTAAATTTTCGATACTCAAATTTTTTAAAAAATTAATTTTAAATTAACTAATAACAATAGAGGTGGAGCAATTTCAGATTCTGCTGGAGTATTTATGGGGCAATTAATTGGCATACAGTTTAATTTTAAAAAGTAGATATTTTATAGCAAAATTAAATTTTCGATACTTAATTTTTTTTTAATTAATTATAAATTAACTAATAACAATAGAGGTGGAGCAATTTCGGATTCTGCTGGAGCATTTATGGAGCAATTAATTGGCACACGGTTTTATTTAAAAAAAAATGATATTTTATGTTTTATAGCTAAATTAAATTTTCGATACTTACATTTTTTAAAAATTAATTGTAAATTAACTAATAATAACAATAGAGGTGGAGAAATTTCGGATTCTGCTGGAGAATTTATTAAGCAATTAATTGGCATACAGTTTTATTTTAAAAAGTAGATATTTTATAGCAAAATTAAATTTTCGATATCTAATTTTTTTTTAAATTAATTATAAATTAACTAATAACAATAGAGGTGGAGCAAATTCGGATTCTGCTGGAGCATTGATGGAGCAATTAATTGGCATACAGTTTAGTTAAAATAAAGAATGTTCTACGCTAACTTCCATCTGGTCTAAATATCATTCATTTTTTAACAGAAATCGTCCATACATTTTAGTATGAAACGGTTCAGTTTCCGTAAGTCGCTTTATATTAGAGAACACGCGTGAAAAAAATTCAGTGCCGCCTCAATTTTTGAGGTGAGTGCACGCCCGTTTGTAGCGAGATTTGACAAGTCGAGTATCTATCTATTGTTTGACATAGCATAAGGGTGGTTCGCAAAAGTTGGACAACATTATTTTTATTATTTGTATTCTTCGAGTAAATAGACTAACTAGATATGTGAATTTTATTATGTATTGTTTTTTGTAATTATCAGAAATTAATGTACTTAATAAAATAGTAATTTACTTTAATATCTATTTCAGGTAGATAATATGGGAAGACGCAAAGAAAGTTATTAGAATAAAAAAATCTAATTAATAATGTAAGCATATGAAGTGAACCACTCGGAAACTCGCTAAGTAAGCAGTCTTTTTTAGGACTTGACTCAACCACCGGTGCAATGAGGATCCATGATCTGGATCTTGAGTGAATTGTTGATCAGTGGGTTACCCTCTGTGGAGTCCACCCATTGTGATATTATTTCAGACTTTCTGGAATAGTTCTGTCTTGATTGACTCGTCCGGTTCTTTGTTGAGGTTACCATCCGATTAAGATGACGTTTAGGTTATTTTAGTAATATCTTATGCCGAGGTTATTATTGCAGTAGTTAAAGAGCAATGGCAGAAAAATAGTTGACAAAAATTATAGCGTCTAGAAATAAGTTATATATAAAATGAGTTTTATTATTTTTCTATGATTTATCAAATAAAAATGTATTTTAATTAAAGCCACAGAAAAAAACAAACATTTTTGGGAATATCAAATGACTTAAATCATTTTACTCTATTCAAATGTTGCCATTTAGTATATTCATACTATTTTCGTATATACTTTGTAAGACTACGAACACAACACTCAAAATATTTTTATCTTAAGTTATTATTAGTAATAACTGTACTAACAGTAATAATAAAAATAAAAGTGATATGGCTGAGAATAAGTCTTTTTCAAAGAATTTCCTACAATAATGCATTATCTCAATCATAGTACTATGTAACAATTCCATTTAATGTTATGTCAACACTAGTTAAAATAAAATGTCAGTTGTTTTTTACTGGCTCTGGGTTCTAGCCCTTCTGAGAATGTCACTATGACACAAGAGCCCTTGAGCCATGCCAGAAATATACATTTATAGTATGCAAATATATAATAGAGATCCAATAATCTAAAAACTCTCATTTATGTATTATGTATTAAGCTAACATCAAACAACCACAGGAAGCAAGACTTTTTCCAAGTGACATAGGACATAACCTAAAAAGGTTCAAATGTAAATATCTTTTTTTTGACGCCTTCTCAGTACGAAATTGTTTGACAGATTTATTAAGGGACTGACGCTTAACATTTTAAGATATTTTTGGTATATAGACGCTACCATTTCTTCTCAACTAATTTTATGTATGAAAGTCTGCCATTGCTCTTTAGATTGATAACTAATATTTATAATATAGAAGTTATCTAATCAGTTAGGCTGTCTTCTTACGTTATGGCTTTTCATTAGTGCTGAATAAAATACAGTACGTAACAATAACTCTGTGGTTCCCTTTAAGTGAGTTATCAAAATCAGTATTCAAACGTATATATATATGTAATTTTACTTCAGAAAAATCAACATAAAAATGATCAAATTAAATTTAAATAAAATAATACTTGTAAATTGTATGTTTTTTTTTTTTTAGGATAATGGTGACAAACGAGCACACAGTCCACCTGATGGTAAGTGGTTGCTGTGGCCCATAGTAAATCCTCGATTACGAATCAAAATGCATATGCGTTGTCATCCGTGAGAACTAAGATGGAATGCCTCGTTTCAAAGTACCATAAAGATACTTCTGAGGGGATCATTCACACACAAACCTTGGTGTGCACGCGTTGCGCAGCGGCTCGCTTTAAAAAAAGATGTATCGGCCATGTCAGAGACCTCACAGTGGCCGTAGGTATGTCGGCACTTGTCGTTTAGTTCAGATGCAAATAACATTTTTAGAAAAAATTAAAATAGGTAGTTATTTGATTAGTAACGCTAAAATCCCATTCATAGTACACCTATACATCCCTGAAACCACCAACTGATTGTTTGTTACATACTGTATAAATTGTTTAAACCACTGTGATTGTTCAAATCTGTATACCTTTATTTTTTAATAAAATATCATTCTTATGAAACCCACATTTCCCATATTACACAAAACATTGATAATATTTTGAATTTGTTCATAAATAAAAAATAATAGTTAAAATAATACCTAGAAAGCGTACACTCTGGCCCCACCCTTTGCCGTCAGCTATTAATTACGGGCTCGTGGACTTCGCAATGTGACAGACAAATAACCGCCCCCGCCCACGCCCCCGCTCACATCTTCAACAATCCATTCCAGCTCACTCCTCACGAGTGACAACTGACAACGCATTTGCATTTTGATTCTTGATCGAGGGTACATGTATGTCTATAGGCCACATCCACTTACCATCAGGTGGACTGTGTGCTCGTTCGTCACCCTCATTCTATTAAAATGCTACTCAAATATAAGATTATTACTGGTAGTTTTTGTTTTTTACTATTAAATCTTTAAAGTAGGTTAAGAGTTTTATTTTTATAATTTTGTATAACCATGAAATGAAAGCAATTATTTAAATTATTATGCATTGACCATTAGAGAATAAGTAATGTTTCTTCGATAGAACTAAGGAAGTGTGGAGGGTACACTTACCCTTAGGACGTAGTCGGTGCCGTCAAGTTCGAAGGTAGTGCCGCCGATGGTGAAGGCGACCTTCGGCAAGTTGGGTATGAGAGAACAGTCGACGGCGTACTGGCCGAAGGCGATGGGCGTGGCGCCGAGCGCGCGGTTGAGCGCCGCCACCTCCTCGGTGGGCCCCCCCACCAGCGACGTGCCCGTGTCCGCGATCGCGTCGCAGCCCTGCACCACCGCCACCGCCACCGCCACGCAAAACAACAACCACGTTCATATCACACGGCAAATATAGACATTCATGAAAATTAACAATAAATGCGGACCAAAAAGGGAACCTTGCGAAACACCTAGTTTTAAACAGACTTCGTAAAGCAGAGAATTACTAGTTCTGCTGAAATTTTATATACGTAACACTGTGTCTCTGCGACAAATTAACTGGTTGTATTAATTTTTGTTCATAATTTTTTAACAATAATTTTTTTAAACTATAAGTCATACAGGAAATTAATAAATGCAGATAGTTCAGGCCTGCGTTTTGTGGTATTCCTTGGGGGAGTTTTATATTCAACAGCCGAATGGCGGGGTCGATCTTGAACATGTTCACAAACTTCCTGAATATGTTTAAGTTTCATTTAATGTGTAGTGTTCGCGTAAAATAAATATAAGAAATCATTCTCTTTTAACAGTTTTTTTTTAAATATCTTCTATATTTGTTATAATAATTAATGAACAAATTAATTAACGAACGAACAAACCAATAAAAAACAATATGAAGTAGTATTATTTGCCAGTGGTATTATTGTTGCGCGCCACGATTAATACATGCTACATGGCGACACTACTTACCACTAGCGCCCTCTAATATCGAGTGGCAGAACTAGGAGAGTCAAGAACATTCTAGAAATTTTCATAGAAACACTTTCTAGAACTATCGACAAGAAATTTCGATTGAAACACATTCTAGAACTATCGACACCTAGTCAATCGGGATCGATATGTTCTCGAACATTCTAGAAGTTTCTATAGTAGAAGGTTCTGGAAACTACCTGAGACCCTATATAAGGCATTTATAGACCGCGACCGAGTCAGTATTGAATTGGCTATACAAGCGAATACTTCGAAGCGATACAACTGCGAACTAGTGATCTGTAGTACAATTGTGTTTTGTTATTAGTGTGGTTTTAAGTTTTAACAAAACTTTTAACACTTCTGATGGTGTTAATTAAACGAAAGTAAGACTGACTTTTGTCCTAGATAAAAATATTAAAATTTTTCGTCCCATTTTCTAGTTCGAGATATTGCTAGCAGCGAGTATAGCGGCTGCAAGCGTGGGATGAGATGTCAGTGTGGATGAGACCTGTGCGCAGAAGGTTTGTCCTCGCAGCTGGACGGCGTCCATGCGGAAGCGCCAGTAGCTGGGCTGCACCGGCACGTACGTGAAGTTGCCGCGGTAGTGCGCAGCATCCGACCCGCCCAGGATCAGCTCCCCGCCCTGAGCAGCGCTCGCGTCCCTGTAACACACACAACATTCTCTCTACAACCCGAGTATTCAAAGTGAACATCAGCCTGTATACGACCGTTTCTAAAATCATATGTAACAAGTCTATTGGTTAAATATTGTTTTAAATAATATTAAAATTTAAAAAACTTAAACGACACGCATTGATGATGTTAGCTTATTTGTCTTTCTCTACTTCTTACTGAGAATACCAGGTCATATTCATAAAATTAATGTAACCGATGACAACATCGGTTTTTAATGTCTGTAAAATTTCAAATCAATCGCACAAAAGTTAGTGGTCAAGCTAATATAAAGCGTGTAAATATTTTATTTTATCCTGGTGATCCTGATCAAGATGCTAGGATAAGGTAATTAAATTATTGTATTGTAATCGGTCCTTCCAAATTTTCAACTCAATCGGCCGTCTATCTACAAGTTGTTGGTGATAATTTCATTAAAATATTTCATAACATAGATAAACAGATAGATACACGCGAAGCTAATAAAAGCGTGTTAAAAAACTACTGCATAAAAATACTTTTTCACAGCTTTGTTTAATATATATGTAGTATAAGTGCAAGAGCAAAGCCCGTTTTGATCTCACGCAGCACTTTGAATGTGGCATAATGGAACTTGCCATAGAGTATATTTTCGTTATTCAAACAAATAATTACTAAGTGTTGACAGGTCTTTAAAATTTGCTCATTTAGAACAAAGTCGCCAAGTAGTCGATTGTTTGCTTGGTGGTGTACGACGAGGCGTTGTCGTGGTGAAGGAGAATCCTACTGCGAGGTCGTTTCTCCCGGACTTTTTCGAAGACAAGTGGCAAACAATTGTTAGTGTAGCATACTGTAATAACTGTTTTTCGATCTTCTAAAACAATTGTTGCGTAATGACCTGTCCTTCCGAAGAACGAGGCCACTATCTTTTTCCCCTCGCTTCAACCTCTCTTCACTTTAGTTGGCAACTCCTCGGAAGAAAACACCCAGACAGCAGACTGTCTCTTAGTTTTAGGATCATAACAAAAAATCCAGCTTTCGTCAATCATAAGTATGTCGAACACAGCATTTGAATCAACTCCGTCAAATCTTTTATCCATTTCACAACACCAATCAACACGACGGAGTTTTTGCCCCTGTCAAATTATGAGGTATCCACCGGGCACAAAGCTTCCTGACCGCTAAATGTCCATGGAGGATTTTGTGCCCTTGACTCATACCGATGCCTAAGCGTGTCCGAATCTGCTCATAAGACCAGGGATTGATTGCGGTTAAGGTACGAGGTTACGCTACCGGTACAAAATATTGATATCGCAATTTTTCAAGGGTAGACCGAAAGCGGTTAAAATTCACAGATACACAACCGCTATAAACTAACGGTAGCGCTATTTTTAAAGGGTTTTTTTTTACAACTTTGTATAACCTTTACATAACCGAAATTATTTCGATAACGAAAAATATCGCGAGGGGCGGATGAGAGAACTTGCAGCGTCACTAAGTCGCTGAGAAATTCTCAGCGATTCGGAGCGGGGAAATCCCGCTGAGGTCGGCCGCAAGCGTCCGTCAGATACCACTCACCTACACCACCACACGGATATCGAAATCGACATCGCTTACACTCGCTATCACCTCGATTCGCCTAGCTGAAGCTAAACGATTAATTTTATACCTAATAATTTGTAGGCTTTCTTTTCTTTTGACAAAGGACAAGAACTTTTACCTGGTTAGTCCCTTTTTTATACAAGAGGGGGCAAACAAATATATGGCTCACCTGATGGTAAGTGACTACCGCCGCCCATGAACGACCGCATAACCAGAGGAATTGCTTGTGCGTTGCCGGCCTTTTAGAAAAGAGTAAGCTCTTTTCTTGAAGGTCCCTAAGTCGTACCGGTCCGGAAATATCGCCGGTGGTATACAATTCCACAGAGAAGTTGTGCGAGAAAGAAAACTCCTAGTAAAACGCACAGTCGTGGACCGCCAAGCATTCAGGTGAGGATGTTATCGTGTATTTTGAGGCGACGTGCGTTCGGGAAATTTAGTAGCTGTAATTAATCCGAACAATTCCTCAGAGCACTCCCCGTGGTAGATGCGATAGAAAATGGGAATGCGATGCGATGCGATAGAAAGGGTTGTAACTGGATGCAACATCCCTAACGAAGCGCCAGCGAATCGAGTAGATCAGAAAGAACACGGTCGTCGACGATTCGAACCGCTCTGCACTGAATGCGGTCAATTGGAAGGAGCTGGCACTAGGGTGCTCCGACCCAGAGATGAAAACAGCACTTCACGTGAGGCCGAACTTGCGCTTTGTAAAGTTGCAAGCGATGTGCCGGCATGAAATACTGTCCCGCTTTGCTGATCATGCCAAGCATTTTAGAGGCCAATTTGGCCTTCCCATCCAAGTGACCACGAAATTGCACACTATTCGATATGTCGACGCCTGGGATTCTGATACTAGCTGAGGCAGCAAGGCACTCCGCCTTAAAATTGAGGAGATACGACAAAGAGGTTCTTTTTAGCAGTAAATGCGCAAACTTGTGTCTTCTGGGGATTGAACTGGACTAGATTTAGTCGCCCTCAATCCGAGACTTTTTCAGCAAAGACTCGACTTAAGACACAAGTTTGTCCCGGTACTCGATGACGTTTTCCCGGGAAATATTGGCACCGCCGGTGTATAAGGCATTACTAGTGCTGTCGTCTGCATAGCAATTAATGTTACCAGTTTGCAACATATCATTGATATACAGAAGAAACAGTGTTGGTGATAGCAAGCACCCTTGTGGAACACCAGCGTTAATCAGAGCAAGCACCGTCTACTACGACCTTGATGTTCCGATCAGCAAGGAAATTGGTGATCCAATTGCACAATTTCTCGGGAAGCCCATTGAAGGGGGCTTCGAAAGAAGCGCTTTGTGTCAAACCCGATCGAAGGCCTTCGCTGTATCTAAACTAACGGCCAATGCCTCCCCCTTTCGACTCTACTGCCTCCGCCCATCTATGAGTCAGGTAGACCAGAAGATCACCAGCTGATCAACGGAAAACCGTATTGGTGGTCACTAATCATCTGTGTGATCATAAAGGTACCTCATGCGCTGGCAGTTTATAATGGGCTCCATTATTTTGGGAACAAGGAGGTGATGACGATAGGCCTGTAATTGGATGGGTCTGAGCGGTCGCCTTTTTTAGGGATCGGGTGGATCAAAGCTGTCTTCCATGAATTTGGGCCTATGTCTTGGGAGTAACAGTACCGGAAAAGATTCGTCAAAACCAGTGCCAACTCCGGAGCACACGTGTTCAGCACAATAGGTGGGACTCCATCAGGCCCACTCGGCTTGTTGACGTCCAGGGAGAGGAGTGCTTTGTAAACTGAGCGCTGTGTAAACCGCACATCCGGCATGGAGCACTCACACTGCGGGATGGTCGGCGGTGTGTTCCCCGTGTCATCAAAAGTCAAGTTGAATGCAAAAAGAGAGCCTAACAGATCGGCTTTCTCCTTTACGGCATGGGCCAGTGAGTCGTCCTCTCTGTGCAGAGATGGAAGAGATGGCTAACAGAAGTTATCTTGGACAGCCTTGGCAGAGACCAGAATGCACGGGTTCCCGAAGGAAGCCGAACTAGCTTTTTACCAATTCTGCCGATGTGCTCAGACCTTGCATTGGCAATGACTCTTTTGAAGAACCTGGAAGGGGAATTATACTTCTTTTTAAGAGTGCTGGTGTTTACATCAAGAGAAGTTGATGCGTTAGCCCAGACCCGATAGCACTCTTGCTTATAGCGTGATGCTATTTTACAGGACCGACCTAATCATGGCTGGGATCTGCCTCCGATAGGCACCACCGAGGATGGAATAAAAAGTTCCATATTATGAAGTACTACATCAGCGACAGAATCAACAACATCACTGGGATCGTCCGGCGAGAAGCAAACCGCCCCCAGGGGTAGAATGCAAAATTAAAGACCGCATCCTATCGCAATCGGCCGTGTCAAACACGGCGGCAGCCTGCAGAATGCAACGTTAGTGTGAGTGGCACTACACTCCGGATAAGACATTAGTCCGAGGAGCCAAGAGGGGCTTCGACGGAAACCTGATATCCGACCGGATGAGAGGTCAGCAGAAGGGAAGGTGCGTGATCCTCCACGTCTGGAATCCGCGTAGGTGAAGTAACCAGCTGTGAAAGAGCATATGACAAAAAAAAAGGTTTTAAAAAGTTAATTCGCAAACATCCGGTCTATAAAATAAAATGATGTGTTTTACCCAGTATGAAGAGCACCTCCCGCCCTCCCTCAATTGCACCGTGAGGGTGATAAACGACCATGTTGCGAAGCTGTATATCATCAAGGAGCAGGCTTAAACATGTTTAAGAGAGGCGAGTTGGAAACATTTATTTGTTCATTCAGCAGTGCAACGTTACCGCTATTATTTTTTAATATCACTAACTGTTCCAGCACACACAGCCGTAGCCTTTTATTACAAGTATGTAAGACTTTACAGGAGTGTTTATTGGGTAGGCTGTGTCCAGTGTCCAAGAGATGTTTAGCGAAATGTGATTTATTGTGATTACAATTCCTGTACGCGGCTAAATGCTCTTTATAACGTGTTTCGAAGTTGCGACCAGTCTGAACCACGTAAATGCCTTGGCATTCGTCACAAACAAGTTTATAAACACCAGACTTTAGACGAATATCTAACTTATCTTTATTATTACAGATATTCCTAAGTGAATTGTTTGTTTTGAACGCAACGTAAACGCCACTCTGTCGAAGAGTATTAGCTATTTTTCAGATATGGAACCTAAGTAGGTCAAACTGCCAACATATCGACGATCACTTTGAGGTTTAACCGCTTACAGAGAATTGCGTACAAGCTTTTGTTTCTTTTTGATTACATTGTCTATGATATTCTTTGAATAACCGTTAGAGACCGCAATTTGATAAATTACATTAAGCTCTTTTAAATAATTTTCTTTACTTAATGGCACAATAAGCAGACAATAAAACAATAAAAAGCGGCTAATTTATGTTGCCACGGATGACATTATGACGCTGGAATGACCGTGTCGGTATGAGTTGGCTCTCGATAAATTTGAAATTCATGTAACGACTCTTTTCTTGTTATTGTTAAGTCGAGGAAATTAAGAATGCAATCTTGTTCCAATTCAAGCTTAAATTAGATTTTGCCGTGGAGTTTATTAATTTTATTAAGGAAAACATCCAGTTGCTTCTTTGTGCCAGTCCAGCAAATAATTATGTTGCCTACATATCGATAATAGTATAAGATATTTTGATTCACAACCATAAAAATGTCCGCCATAAGAGGTAATTGGAGCGCGGTTTCGTGAGAAAGTAGTATAAATGGCAGTAGTTTCTCGGGCTCGCCGCTCACGTAGCGACCAGCCTCCGCAGAGTCTACTTCACCTGAGGATGCCTCGTGTAGAGCCGAAACACATGTCGTATTTTCGAGAGTGGTGTGTCGTGCCTAGTGTGGTGGTGCTGGGGATGATAGTGTTGGGATTGACTGCGACGGGTATAGTGCGCGCGATTCAGGGAGGGTGAGAGGTCCCCTTAAAACTGGACAGGACACATCATTTTCTTTCTTTACGCGGAATTAAGCAAATTAGTTTATAACAACCCCATAATAAAAAAATAATCATCGAAATCGGTTCACCCAGTAAAAAGTTATGAGGTAACACACATAAAAAAAACATACAGTCGAATTGAGTACCGTCTCCTTTTTGAAGTCTGTAGAAAAAGCTACAGACCCCTGAGGAGTAAGATGGAAAGCCTCACAACTTCAGGCCGGAACACAATAATAATCACAAACTGCTATTTGCCCGCAGAAACAGGTAAGAGGGTGGCAGCTAACCAGACGCTCTCCTAAGCAGAAAGGTTAAGTACTGTTAAAAAGAAACAGGCGAGTTTTTGTACACGTGTGAAATGGAGTGAGGTAATGTGTGAGTGATTTCTTACCGGTTAAGGTAGAAGGAGAAGACCGGCTTCACCAGACCCTGCGCCACCATGTTGTCAAACACCGGCGTCACGCCGTCCACCGCAATTCTGCACGCAGAGTATATACAGTGTTAACAATCAAAACTATATCGAAATTATAAGCAATACAACATAAATATATATGATACAGTCAAAAGTCATAACCGGTCAAAAACCACTCTCGACTGCAAACTCAGGCAAAAGCGGTATTTGACTAAGGAGTTGGTCAAAACTACTTTTTACTGGTATATTGTTTTTGTATACTCTGACACTTGCATGATTAGGCTATTTGCATCTAATAAAACATTACTCAAATCTTGCAATATTAGTGAAAGTAGGTTAAGATGCGGCTGAGGTGGTCCTTGGGCTACCCTAAAGCCGCTTACATATATAATGATATCCATAAATAAATTAAAATATAAAGAGAATTGAACTAAAGAATTGAACTAAAACGTTGATCAAACCACTTACAACCGAGAACGTTAGTAAAAACCTCTTTTGACTACAAGTGGGAAAATTAAACATTTTTACTTCAATATAAATAAAATCGATTAAATACTCTTGATCAAATTATCAATATATGAGATCTCATGAGAAGCACCAGGTTTCATATAAAAAAAGAATCATCAAAATCCGTAACACACAAAATAATACAGTCGAATTGGGAACCTCTTCATTTTTTGTAATCGGTTGAAAATCAGGCAAAACTGTTTTTGACTAAGGGCATCGATCAAAATCATTTTTGCCTGATTTTCGCAGTCAATTATGGTTTTGACCGGTTATGAGTATTGATTGTAACATAAACACCTTTTAATATAATTTTCCAAATAGTTTACAGTAGGTCACCGATCTCGCGCAATTTGTTGTTACCGACGTGTCTATTTCATTATTATTTGTATTCGTTAGTCAATCAGCTATTGGGGTTTTCTGTCAAAAAACCCTCAGTAGCAGCCCGGAGTCAGGAAGTTGGCGATGTTACACCCACGTAGCTCGGATAGCACATAAAGCGTTATTACTAACGTCCCATCGGACTATGACGGTCATGGAACAGAGAGTGCACCTGTATTCGCACACACACTGTACTATAATCCTGTCCTGCACTGACTCCGTTCAGTCTGGCCTCCGTTCAGTCTGGCCGCCATGACCGAAATTCGGTCTGGAGGACACTATTATTATTTGAATTAGCTAAGACAAAGAATGTAATAAATTGTTATTGAAAACATTATTGAAGAAGTTATTGACATGATCATTGAATTTTTCAATACTTTTTTGTTACAATGCTATTGGTACAGTTACTATATTTTTATATAATAAGTCCACCTGATGGTAAGTGGATGCTGTTGTCCATAGAGATCTCCATTAATCTTCGATTAAGAATCACAATACAGACTGAGGACTAAGATGATGTCCTCGTCTCCAGTAAAGAGGATTTCAGTTCTCTACGCTCACCATACGAAACGCAGCAGTATTACGTTGCTATATAAAGCTGGTATTCTATGAAAGCGTGATCATTCCCCGGTCGAGCCGACCCATTCATGTTACAAGCTTAATATAGCTGCAGCATGGCTTTGGCTCTACCACTATGTATTGTTTCGATCAAATCAAACACACGCGGTGTCGGAAGAGAACAGATCCCGCTCGCAGACGACGTGGGCAAGGCGTTGGTCAGGGCCCTCCCTTTGATGATGGTGTTTCCTATCGGAAATGGGGTCTGTGGGGTTACGGCCTAGCCATGTAACCCCCGAGGAGGACGATTACTCAGAAGTGGCCGCAGACACCGTGATAGTACTGCGAGAATACTGGATGTGCTTTAATAAGGCAAAGCGGGAGAGAAGCCCCGATTGCGTTCCGAACGGAGATCCCGGGACGAGGGGTATGTTGATGGTAAAAACCGTGGGGTTTCGCCGGTAGAAGTCCGGCAAAACCTTTTTGTTGCACCGCAGTCGAAGGTATCCATGAGGATTTTTCCACGATGAAAAAAATAAAATGTGTGCAGGTCACACGTGATAAAAGTGAAACCTTCAGGCAAATAAGCTTCAAGAGAGTGAGACGAATGCAGAGTATCAGTAGATGTCTCTTTTTAGTGTCGCTTTTTCGTTTCATCGAGTTTCAAATCACAACGATTCTAAAGAAGTTTAGACTATAAACAAAGTTTACTTCTTGAAGGCCATGCCGAGGATGCCGTCGAACTTGGCGGCCACGAAGGCCAGCCCGGGCTCCGACATCGCCTCCGCGAACACCTGCCCGCGCACCGTGATGCCCCCCACCTGCCCACACACATACACAATACAATAGTTTTATTTTATAGAATAAGGGTGACAAACGAGCACACAGTCCATCTGATGGTAAGATTGAATGCCTCGTTTCCAGTAAGAAAAAAAAGTGTGTCCGTTTCTTTACACTCACTGTTCAAATGACTGCAGCATTAAGCTACTATTTTAGACTGGTATTCTGTGAGAGCGTGGGTCTACCCCGGTCGCGCCGAACCATTCATGCTACAACCATAACATAGCTGCAGTATGGCCCTACGTAAAATTGGTTGTTGCATTATTATAAGGCAAAGAAAACTATGCTGTAGCTGTATCCAAGTGGTGGATTGGTAGAATAGCCAAGTCTTTGTTTTACAAGTGACACATCTTTCAATGCAGTGGCATATGAGTCCACGTCGAGCAACCAGGTATTTCAATTACCTAGCTGTTGTATATAGATACATCCACTAGATCACACTCTGTTAAGTCTTAGTTTTAGTTTAAGTTAGTTAAATTAAAAATACACAAGTGAAATACATCAATATAAAATTGTGTTAAAGTAAGTTTTCAAGATACATTTAATTACATTTCAAAAGTTATAACATAATGAAAAAACTTTTAATAAAAAGTAAGTACAGACTTAAAAAAACTGTAGAAACTAAATAATTTCCACATAATAGCTTCTAAAGTCGGTTTGTTGTTTTTTTTTTAAGAAAAACAGTACTCCTAGGATTTTCTCCTGTATCGTAGAGGCAGTTTGCATAAATAAATTTCACAAGGATAGTATACAGACCCGGAACAATTATTTGGAGGCCATACAACTTGTCCCGTGCGGGATTCGAACCCACGGTCCCCAGCGTTTTTTTTCCCGTCGCCTCTTACGATACCCACGGGATGTTATGGGGTAGTGAATATACTTAAACCGTCACTACACGGTGATTTGATTCCAATAGTAAATAAAAAATGATGCTTGTCACAATAATGATATGACTCTAAAACAAAGAAAAGTAAATGATCGAAGTAATTATCCACTACCACAAGCGGTTTTTCCGAACCGATACGACTTAAGGACCTTCGATAAAAGACCCTATTCCTTTTGAAAAGACCGACAACGCATCTACAATTCCCCTGGTGTTGCAGTTATCCAGTTGTTGTACGGCGGTAGTCACTTACCATCAGGTGAGCCGTATGCCAGTTTGCACATTCCTATAAATATAAAAAAAAAACATTAACACTCACGGTGACGTCATCCTGCGAGAGGAAGCCGGAGAGGCTGCCAGATCCGTAGTGTATCGCGAATTCGGTGCCGTTCTTGACGTACGAATGCGACTTGGTGCTGTCGTACTTGTTGTGCAGCACTGTGGCAAATACAATTAAATTGTTTTAAATTTTTCGAGCATCATTTCTAAAATCTACTACCGTATATCCTCTAAAGTTAAAGTCATAAACGCTCATGCCTGTCATCCAGAGTAGGCAGAAACTATGGTCTTCCATTTGGCACGAACCACCGAAGCATACCTTTCTTAATCCTGGCACATGAGTAAATAAACAGAACAGAGGTAAAGCCTCATACAACCGCGCGAATCGGTTGTACTACTACAAGCACGCGGGGATTGTGTGCGTGACCACTGGCCGCTTGTCGCGTACACGGCGAGACTGGAATAAACCGGTTACGCTGGCACAGCCAGTGGACAACAATCTCAGGGTCTGAGGGACGCATGTTGTTTGTTTTGTAGTTGCAAGTTTAAATATTTTAATGTAAAAACGTGGTATTACTAATAATTATTGTTCATTGTACTGCGTGTATGAATAATACTAGAAAAAATAAAAATATATCATACTTTAACTATCCCAAGGAGTACAATAGGTAAGTAAATATTTGATTAATTCTTTTCCAAGTAAGTACCTTTATTTTATCGTATGATCACGACACGGTGTGATTTTACCTTTTTATTGTTACTACAAGCTTTATCTAAACATTTGTAGGTATGTGGGTGGGTTGGATTGTAGTAGGTATGTGTTAAGTTCACATATTGCAAGTAAGATTTGAAGCACTCCCCGATGTCTGATTGAGTTGAAATTTTGTATACCGTAACTTCAGTGACAATGCAATAATATGACAGACATAACCTGATGCTGCAGCCAGGATTGTCTCCTCACTAGGGAAATTTTCAACGGGTACTAGGAGGCTCGCGAAATTCTGTATGTTAGTTTAACACAATTTTTATCGTGAACTGCTGCTGCAGCCAGCATTGTCTCCTTACGAGGGAACTCTTTAACGGTTAGTAGCATGGACTCGAAACTTTGTATTTAAATTTAATTTTGTTTGCTAAACATGATCTTCACCATAAACTGCTGCTGCAAACAGAATAGTCTCCTCACGAGGAAACTCCTCAACCGGGAACTCCTTGTCAATGTTGGGAAAGAAATATTGAAATATTTTTAAAGATTTTAAATTTGATATGCCATGTGATATGCCGTGCCTTTATATATATGAGATAGCCGTTTTTGTTATTACGCATATTTCTTTATTTGAGTGCCTACACAGTAAACGTAATAATCAAAAAATATGTTTTCCATCAAATAAAACAGCCCAATTTAACAACAGTGTATTTTGTATGGCCACTAGAATTTATAACCATTTACCATTACACATTTTGAGATGCTCCAATATAGATAAGTTTAAAATACTATTGAAGCAATTTCTTCTTAATAAGGCATACTACAGTGTGAAAGAATATCTCGAAGACAAATATGAAATTCAATAATTGACTGTTACATGACTGAGAATAACTAAATTGACTTGACTTATACAATATTATCTAAATTGCCTTATCGCTATTATTTTTGATTTTGTATCATGTGAATTCCAATTTTAACTGGAGTATGTTTAAGTAATTTAATATAAAAGTAATAAAATGTGATGGACATTGCATGCCAAATGGCGGAATATAGCTGTACTAAATGTTTGTTCTATAAGTGATAAACTACGTAAACACCAACTGTATCAACCTATATTCGCAATAAACGATTTGAATTTGAATTTGAGTGTATCCCGTTAGATTATACTTGAAAAACGTTTATTTTAGATTCAGAATTTACCACACCAACAATAAATTATTTAAAAATAAAACAGGTTATGTCTGTCATATTATTGTGACAACCCTACCAAAATAGGTAACAATTTTGCACGTTTTTAAGAAGCTTTGTCTCTGTTCCGTTTATCTACTCATGTGATCCTAGTCCCAACAGCATCTAGCAAATCACACTTTTCTCTTATCACACAAATTCTCACCCTGACATTCAGATTCTATTAACCTCTAAGGTTCCTCTTTTCAATGGTCATAATAAAATTAACTTTTTAAATAATACCAAGGTATATAATATGAAGGTAAATTCAATTAAAACGTGGCAGAGCCATGCTACAGCTATATTCTGGTTGTAACACGAATGGGTCGGTTCGACCGCGATAGGACCATACTCTCGCAAAAAACCAGCGTAAAATTGCAGCTTAATGCTGCTGTGTTCCGTCGAAAAGTGAGTGTAGAGAACCGGAGACCCTTTTGACTGGAAATGAGACATTACATCATTGTCCTTAAGGGTAAGAACACATCTAATTAATCGAGGATAAATGTAAATATCTATGGGCCACAGCAACAACTTACCATCAGGTGGATTGTGTGCTCGTTTGTCACTCTTATTCCATAAAAAAGAACAGGTTATCAGTTACTTACAGCAAGCGATGTTGGTGTAGTGGCACTTCTTGGAGGGTACCCACAGGTTGGAAGAGCCCGTATCGAACACCACCTTGAACGACTGCGGCGGGTTGCCTATAGAAATCGGTCCGTAGTATTGAGCCTGCAAGTACACACATATTATATCACATCTACAGCCTTTTTAAATCGACAACTGGAATAAAACACCTGGCATCACTTAGAAAATGTATTCCAGCTATGAGGACTAAGATGGAATGAGTCGTTACCAGAAAAAGGGCAGTGGCGGATTATCCTTAAGGCAAACTAGGCACGTGCCTCGGGGAGCGTGGGTAAAAAGGGGCGCGTTTGGAAGTGTTTAAACGAAAAAAAAATCGTCTATTTGATTACTCCTACATCGCTCTCACTCTCTCATTATATTTTTCATTCATGCCCAGCTGCTAAGGGTACTACTTATTTTCCTATCATATTATAAATTATAATATAGTTTATTTGCAAAATGAGTTGTTATAATTTATAATATGGCCGCTAGAGGGGTGCCGAACAGGAGCTAGCCTAGAGCGCTGTCGATGTTTCATCCACCTCTGTGTATGGGAAAGTCTTAATATTGTAAGATACAGGATTAATCCTAGTTTTGGAATCAGTGTAACAATCGAATTGTAATTTATAAGTTTTTAATAAAGATTATAATCATCATTCAGTCTTACAAGCGCACAACAAATATGCTGTGAGTAAGTACAATTTGATTAATGATTTACACGGAATATTTACTAAAATGTACAATCGCAGAAATTCTAAACGGTTTGATAAGTGCATTGTGTTGTTATCAGTGGTTTAAGAATGTGTACCTATATAATACAAATTACACTACACCTAACAATAAATTGTATTTATGAGAATATTTTATGATGGTATTGGTAATGATGTTAAACTAATATATCGCGTAGTGGGGGTGTAAGAATATCAACTACTAAGAGGTGACAGAGAGAAACTGAAACAAAATTGACAGTAGACAGTAGCATCTTTCTGATAACAATTAACAACTCAAAATGATAAAAAAACAGCGGTTGCGCAAGCCGAAAGCGTGACCACTATGGCAAAATCCCCCCCTATAAAATAATAATAATAATAAATATTTATTTCATTTCCAATTACACATGTTTACATACAGGAGCAAATATAATTACAATTAAATAAAGTAACAATAAGTCTAACAAAAATAACATGCTATGATAAAATTAAAAGTATGTGTAGCTTAATAATGTAGAATATACAAAAGAAAAATAAAAAAGTCAAGTTTATAATATTAGCTACCTGCCTGGACTAAGTTGAGTACCTGTGTTTCAGACATCACTTAAACAATGGGTTTAATAATGTAGGATACTAGATATTTAAATGATTAAACTATATTATATAATAAATAAAATAACTAAATAACAATTAATGAGGCAATTAATGATGCCTATGAGGCAATCTAGGGGGAAGTCCTACATAGGTTCAGCAGTGGACTTTTATAGTGTGTAATTAATGGAGTGGTGTTAATTATGCCGACGTTTGATTGGAACATGGTGACTTTCATGTAATTTTGAAACCTATCCGGACATCAGCTGTGCGGTTTGCGGGATTAGCGAAGTTGATTTTCGACAGTTGTTAACGTTAATAGAAAACTAGAAAAAAAAATCTGAATTGAAATAAAAAATTGTTATTTTTTTACTTTTTCTAGTGGACTAACGTCCAAATAGTCACATTAAAAACTTCATCCTCTATTTTGCCACCCTCAGGGGTGCAAATTTTCCCGAAATTTGTCCGACCTAGGCTTCGGCTTTGGCCACCTTCAGTCAAAAAAAACATCTTCTGCGAAACCTTCGGATTCGGTTTTTCGATGGGCCGAAGTTTTCACCAAAGCTGAAAATTTCTAGCAAGCGCCGGAATTTAACGCGAACTGTTACGAATGAGCGAGAGCGCGATGGACGAGGCGACGCAATTTTTATCACGTCTAGATCAACTTCTGGATATAATTAAAATGACTTTTTTTACAATCCTTTTAGTTTAAAGGTTCTAAAAAAAAAGTTTTAATAAAAAAGATTCATATTATTAGATAATTTTAACCAGTCTTGTCTGCTTCGGCTTCAGTTTTGGTAGAAGGTTGTAGCGATAGCAAACTATAAAAATAAATCGGCTTCGATTTCGGCCAGAAATCGACCTACGGTCGGACACCAATTTTAAAGAAGTTACAATAGGCGGTCTTATTGCTCTGGAAGAGATTCCTTCCAGACAACCTTTTTGCGAAGAAATGTTGTTTGCAACGAGTGGTGAATCGGAACGCCTCCTACATTAGACACTTAAGTAATAGAAAATAGTGATTCTACTTATAGCGGTCTATTACATTATGGATTTCTATAACGGATTTGCGTTTACACGCCTCTCGAAACCTCTTGAAGCAATATTGTTTGAATGTGAATATTTTTAAATTTACGTCGAAAACAGACAGTGTGAAACGGGCTATGAGTACGAGTGTATCATCACCTTGTTGTCATCACCAAGAGAGTTGGCAGGGTATAAACCAACCAGAGCGTTAGCATGACAAAGCTTCGTGTATCTTTGCCAAGTAACAAACATAAACATAATACGGGCGTCACTGACACTTCACAATAATAATATTAATTCGTAATAACAAGATAGGACAAGAGGTTATCATCACCCGGCTAGCGGTGACACCGAGTCACCTCTTCGGTCCATGATTTCACGAAAAATCAAATGTTTATTTTATTAGAAAGAAAGAGATTTACGTTGTCTACATTAATTCTATTTTAAAGAGTTTTTAGAGAGCTCGTTAACGTCAAATGACCAGTCGTTATGGATACAAAATCACTGTAATTTGTTTGTTATGTTTTGCTTGACGAATTGTATACCTACTTAACTTTAAAACTTCTTTAAAACAAAAAAGGGTTACGTCAACAATGTACTTGTTACTTATTAGTTACCCATTAACTATTATTTTATAGGATAAGGGTGAAAATCGAGCACACAGTCCACCTGATGGTAAGTGGTTGCTGTGGCCCATAGCCATCCACATCTATCCTCGTTTGCGAATCAAAATGCAGATGCGTTGTCAGCCGTGAGAACTAAGATGGAATGCCTCTTTTACAGTACAATAGGTCTCCGGTTCTCTACACTCACCATACGAAGCACAGCAGCATTAAGCTGCTATGTTACGCTGGTATTCTGTGAGAGCGTGGTCCTTCCCCGGTCGAGCCGACCCATTCGTGCTACAACTATACAATTAAAATAGCTGCAGCATGGCTCTACCACGTCCAAAAATGATTAATTGAAGAATTTTCTCTTTTATCGTCGAAGCAGTTTACACACATAAATTTCACAAGGACAATCCAGACTCGGAACAATTACTTGTTCCGTGCGGGATTCGAACTGGCGGCCCTCAGCGCTATAACTCATTGCTAAACTACTACGACACAGAGCCGTCAAAACTATATTCAAAACCATTAATATGCAACAAAATGTCGAATAAAATTGGTTTGTAGACACACAAAAACAGTACACGTACTGTGACACGAAACACACGACACACGAAATCTATAACTTAAATAGAAAATTCAAGTTATAGTTTCTTTTTGATCCATTCGTGCTACAACTATAGTACTAATATAGCTGCAGAATGGCTCTACCACGTATTAGGCTTAGCAATAGGATCCCGTTGGTTACCCTTTCGGTACGGAATCCTAAAATTAATGTAAATCATGTGACTCGACGTTGATATCATACATTTTTACAGTTCTCTATTAGGGTAAACGATCTTAGCAAGTGAACTTGGCTAGAGCCACGTAATACTACTCATCCTATATCAAATAGTAGCTGTGTATTGGATATGAATATTTGATATTGAATCTATATTATAAACAGTCGTTTAACCAAAGTTCTAATGAGAGTGAACAAGCCGCAGATCAGGATAGTAACAAGTGCTATCACAGGACACGGCACCTTTAACAAACATTTATTTACTATAGATGTTACAGATAGTCCCCTGTGCAGGGCATGTATAGGGGAGGAAGAAACGGCAACCTATGTGCTACTGAAATGTCCGGAGGTCGCTACATACAGGGCTAAACATCTCGGCACGCCGGGATCACTCCCCGAAGTTACATGCAACATTAAAGGACTGTTGAGCTTCTTCGGGGAGATCTCATGGCTCGAATAATTACATTATTCCTACCCGCACGCAAAATATGCGCATAGGCGTGGAGTTGCGGAAAACAGCCCGTCGTAAACTAAACTAAACTATATTATGTATTTCAATATCTACTTATGTATCGGTTGATATCTAAAATGTAACTGTGTAGTCAGTCAGTATTCAGAACTACACTGATACGCAAGTTTTGGTAAAATTGGCTTGTTTAGTTAAAAGATATATTTTAATATCTAATTAGGTATATTAAAACGTATTGGTTAATCTCTATGATACTCTAAAACGAGTATATCATACAATGAAGAATCTTAGTATTTTATTCAATTATAATGCGATCAAAAACATAACTTGTAAAAAAAAACCAAGTCTCGCAACTCAGTTCTTCTAGCGTAAAAGGTTGTGAGATCCATGTAATACCAAATCGGTTAATTTATTCAGTCCTTACTTAAGGGTCCTTCTGTTTTAAGTTATTACGTAATTATCTAACCAACATGCGATGGCCAAGTCAATCTATTTAAATAAATAGATTGACTTGGCCATCGCATGAAAACACAATGTATCTCACAAGTAATACATATTATATTAAATTAGATTGGTTGAAATTGAATGAAATTTGAAATATATCGTGTTTATACAATGCATACTTGGTTATTGAAAATTCAGGTTTCTAGTTTTATCCACAACGAAGTTATAGGGAGGAACGAAGGCATGATTGAAATGACTGACAAAAACAATATGAAACGGAATGGATGCAATACCGGATGTGACGAAAAATAAATAAATATGAATACAAAAAATGCCACAATAATAATTTTACAAAAGCTGACTGAAAAATTAAAAAGTATAATGTATATGAAGTAATTTCGTAGTGTAGACCCCATGAAATGTCGGAAGGTGTTAATGAAAAGGAGACATGTTGCTTGTTCTATATCTTTAATTATAAGTTATACTGCTCTTATTCTATATTTACACTAAGCTGTTCCCCGCGACTTCGCCCGCGTGTAATTTAAGGTTTTAATTTTTTGCGTGGAACCTTAATTCTTTTTTTACAACAAAACTAGTCTAAGTTACTCCTTATAACATCAGATATCTGCCACTGAAAATCCCGTCAAAACCGGTCCAGCCATTTTGGAGATTGGCCGGAACAGACAGACAAACAGTCAAAAACTTTAAAAATTCTGTTTCTGTTATAAGCACCGTATATACTTTCATATGCATTTAGTAAAAAGTTATTATTTTGACATTACAAACAGACACTTCAATTTTATTTATTTGTATAGATGTATAGATTTCGTAATTCACGGAGCAAATACAAAGAGCAGACGGCCTAAGCAACTGTGCACTATGATTCTAACTAGGTCCTGACGTCATCACAGTGGGCCTGGGCGTGGCTTTAGTTTGTATGCCAGCGCTAGTTCTGGGCGCTATGTGTCGAAAATCGCAAATCAGTTTATTTTCATAGTATTAAGAAAATAAAGATCTAGAAAAGGCCTATGATAGAGTGGTGAGGAATGAATTGTGGTCAGCACTGTCCGTGAACGGTGTGAGCAGTATCCTCATACGAGCAATGCAATCTCTTTATAGGGATTCTAGTGCTTGTGTAAGGATAAACGGGGCATACACTGAATGGTTTAATATCGAAAAAGGTGTTAGACAGGGATGTGTAGCGTCACCGTGGCTGTTTAATCTGTTCATGGACAATTGTTTGACAGATTTAAAAGAGAATGAAAGTGGGTTGAGAATGAATGAGTTACTCGTCAAATGTTTTCTCTATGCTGATGACCAAGTCTTACTTGCGTCTTCGACCGAGGAGTTGCAGGAGATGGTAACTGCTATGAGTGGAGCTTTTGTTAGAAAGGGAATGAATATGAATGTAAGGAAGACGAAAGTGATGGTGTTTGAAAAAGATGAGGCAGTGACAGACTGCAATATTGTGATTGAAGATGAACAAATTGAACAGGTGAAAGAGTTTGTGTATCTGGGTTCAAAGTTTACAAGAGATGGAAAGTGTGAGAGTGATATCGAAAGAAGAGTGAATGCAGAAAACATGGTGAATGGAGCTTTGCACTCCTTTATGAGCAGTCGTAAGGTGTCTAACAAGGCTCGTTTGGCTGTGCATGAGGGGGTGTTGGTTCCGACACTCATGTACGGAAGTGAAACTTGGGTATAGCAGAAGAAACATGAAAGCAGAATAAATGCAGTTGAGATGAGAGCATTAAGAAGTATGATAGGAGTTAAACTGAGTGACAGGATAAGAAATAGTGAGATAAGGAAACGTTGTGGTCTGAAAGATGTAGTGACAAAAATTGAGAAAGGTATGCTGAGATGGTTTGGCCATGTCGAGAGAATGAATGAAGAACGATTGACGAAAAAAGTGTATAAGGCGAGTGTGAATGAAAGTGTTGGAAGGGGTAGACCTAGGCGGACATTTCTAGACCAAATCAGGGACGTCTTGAAAAAAGGCCAGGTCAAGAGTACCCTAAACCGTAGAGCATGTATGAAGGGAATAATGAAAGTGGACGAAGCAAAACAAGTATGTAAGGATCGTAGCAAGTGGAAAGAACTGGTCTCTGCCTACCCCCACGGGAAAGAGGCGTGATTATATGTATGTAAAAAAAAGGATGAAGTGTCGTTTTTTATCGTGTAAAAACTACTGAGATAGACGCTCAGATGCTATGGATGGCATCATATTTCATTTTTTAGTAATTTTATACCTAATTTATTAAAATAGTTCTAGAAAAATCTCTGCGTTGGCTTTCAAATATAATTAAATATACTTGACACTAGATGGCGACACTGTGTCATGGGAACTAAAAATATAAAGGTACGTAGAGCTCAGTGTTGGTAAAATAATCATACGAAAGTGCTGAAATTTGTTTTGCATTCAGTCCTAAAGAATTTTTAATCGCCAAAATATTATTTTTATACTTTTTATAATAATTTTGTGAACAGGCCGCCATCTGTCGTCAAGGTAGCAAAACTACATTGCAACATCGATATGTAACGTTACGAGTAGTTTCACTTTTTATTGGTAGATGGAAAACAGTTAAGTGGGCGGGGCTTAACACCCCCTCACCCCGCAAATTGTCACTCGTTGTTACATCATCATCATCATCATTACAGCCCTTCACAAGTCCACTGCTGAACATAGTCTCCCCCAAGGAATGCCACAAAGCACGGTCCTGAGCCACCTGCATCCATCGACTTCCTGCTGTCTTACCAGGTCGTCACTCCATCTATTGGGGGGTCTAGTGTGGTTGTTACATAGTGAAATCTAATTACAACACTTCCTCTTTGTATTTGCTCCTTGTTGTAATTACATACAATTTGTATCACCCAGACCTAATCTTTGCCGCTACTTTGTATGTGTAGACAGAATTTTGTTTTGATTCCTTTAATGTCATTCAGCAAAAAATTTTTTGGGATTGATTTTTTTTAATATACCGCCAGTTTTTCATATTCTTACAGCGTCTTCAGATTCTGAGTTATGTTCAAAATTTCAAGTCTCTAGCTCATTAGGAAGTTATTTTAAAATCAATTACTAAATTTGACCTGACTAGATATACACCGAAAACAAATTAATAAAGACATAGTAAAATATCCTTGGTCTGGTTAATTGATTTAAATACATTAATGCGGCTTTGCTTTGTGACCACCAAAATAATCACTGTGGCCTCTACCAGTGTTGAACCACAAACAGTTGTCATTCTCAGTAGCAAACCAGAGTCTGAAAGTTCAGTGCCTTTGAAAGCAAGTACAGCTGTTCTTCCGGCTTTTGATTTCTTATTAGTTGTGTCAGATTGCTGTCCCATTAGAGTTAGAGTATAAGAATGAGGGAATAGAAAGTGCACCTGTGCTTGGGCACTCACTCATGGTCCATAATCCTGTCTTGTACAGATAGCTGATCTCTGTTGAGACTGGCCATCATGATAGAAATTTGGTCTAAATGACATTATTATTTTCTACTTGATCTGTCATAACAAATATAATTATTGTGTATGTTGAATTAATAGATGATGTGATAAAGTTCCTGCTATGCCTGCTAAAAGTAACATCATCAAGAAAAAATAATTTTGTTATAATATAAATAAATATTAATTAATTCAATAACAGCCTTTTGAAGTTGACTACTGGTCATTGGTTTTTTCAACATTGCATTAGTTTTTGTTCATACTGCACTGAGAATGCTGCTTCCTATCACCAGTCTGTTATTTTGCTTCGGAGATATAAAATACTTACATCAAGGTAATTAGACAAAGGCTCGGGTGCTGGCCCTGTCGCTGCATACTTAAGCCGTACTTGCTGCAACTCAGTGCCCACTTCATGGAAGTGCTTGCGCACTGACTGCATGCGGTACAGCGGAACCCTGATAATGTGACATAATTGTACATTATATTGCTTATACATATATTTTGTTTATGTAATTAGTAAAAAGGTTCAGTATGTAAAGTTTTAATTGTTACATATTTTATATCGTTTTCCCCAAATATTCTTATAATTTATTTATTTAATCTAAAATACATATTAAAAACCCCGGTCAATAATTACTATTTGTACTTAATTAAAATCGTAAAATAAATTATAAGTAAAATATACCTTGTGAACCCATCGGCGTAGGCTGTGGTGAAAACCAGAAAAAGTACAAACAACTTGCGCATTTTAATTGCAAGTCATACACGAACTCTGGAATAACAGCAAACCAAGTAGTAAATCAAGAGAATGTCAAGAGAATATAAGTGCACTATTTATAATATTCAATATTTACTGCTTAAGAGTCGTTTTTCTTTTACGACAGTTTTATACGAGCTTGAGTTATGATTTATGTCACATTTATTTTATTCAACTAGGTCATAATCAGTAATTAGGTATTATTATAACATTGTAGTCTTTGGGTATTATTAAATCGAATTACCGGTGTTTTGATTTTGATATTTTTGATCTGTTTTGATCTTTACTTTTTCTTTGTATAATACAAATGTGACCAATTAAAAAATTAAAAACCTTACCAACAACTACAAGTTATGTTATCAAATATCATATCATATCGATAAACCTAAGAACATAACCGTTATCACATATCCAACCAAAACCCAAAATCAACTAACCAACGTACGAAACGTAAAACGCAAACTGTAACGATATACCAAAGTACCAAAAACCGAAAACGGCCCAAAACCAAAACTAACCGATGTCCTTTGATATTCGTTGTTTCTCGTTCTAACGACATTATCATAAATACGTATGAAAGAGATGAAGCGAATATGAATTTCGTTGCGATGTTTTGGTTGTTATCATAAAACGGTGCACGTAGTGAAATATAATTATAAGTTTCTTAACAATAAGGTCGAATTTTAAATGGTTAAAATTGCCTAATTTTTTAAGTTTGTGTAGTTGTGAGAGTTGTCAGATTTAAATGATCTTTAGGACATTAGGCACTAGACTTAGATTTGTTTCATCACATTATATTTCGTTTAGGCAACTTTTGTTTATGTGAAAGTTAGAATTTGATTTTTTTTTCTAACGTAACAATTACGCACTTGACATTGGTGGCGTGTGCCGTTCACTATGAAACTATCTGTAAAATTATTAATTTTTGACGTTGCGTTTGTACATTTATTTGTAATATTTGTTTGCATTTTGTACATTTGTTTTAAAACTTTCCTGTCAGTCCTAAGCCTAGTTAAGTATATGAAGGTAAATCGCCAACTTAAATAATCATTATAAAAATTATGATTATTAATATAATAATAATAAATAAACTATAATAATTTTCTATATATATATATACCGGCGTATTTCAAAACTTTGCTAGCATGATATAAGCTTCGGTATAAATAATAAATACCCACAGTGGCGCCATATTTTAATAGATTATGTAAAAATATCGGGAAAAATAGTACTTTTACTGTGAGATGGCACTAGTATCAACGTAAAGCAAGCTACTGAGGACTTTCATACCCCTGATTTTAGGTTATGTTTCGGTTGTAAACCATTACTACTGATATCGATATTTGAAAATGGTTTTCAATAACGATATGAAAACTAAATATCAGTTATGTAACCGTTGGAGCCAAAATCAGAAAACGCCCATGCTTACCTACAACTACCAAGTTACCAAGGTTTATCTGAAATTCTGAAACGTGTCAAATAGTACATACCAAACAATGCTACCTGGTAAGCAATTCAGGAAGTCGATGGATGCAAGATGCAGCTCAGGACCGTGTTTAGTGGCATTATTTGTGGGAGGCTCATATTCAGCAGTGAACTTGTGTAGGGTAGTTATGATGATAATGATGATAAAACAATGCCAACTCATACCTACCGCTTAAAATGTCCTATTCCCTATACAAAACACTATAAATATATATTTTATTAGGAATAGCAGAGTAAGTTCAATATTAAATTGAGTAGAAATGAAAGTAAATGAAGTCAAAAATTATTGGTACATAGGAAATACTACTTTTTTCGAATGTCAACTTCATCTGCACACTCGAGGTTAGTAAGGAAAACAAAACTGTTCCGGTATCACCTGCTTAAATTACCTATTTGTAAACTATATAAATATTGTTTCGTGGGGGTTTCAAAGCCGCAGCCCACATTCTCTTATTGTATCTGTCGATGGAATCAAAAACAAAAAGTTGGTTTTTGCTGGTTTTGAAATGTTGTTCTTTATGTGTTGTGATGTTTTTGATATGAAAGTTCATACAAAACCTAAGTTTGACATAATTAAATTCAGAAAATACTCTGCCTATATGCCTATAGATTCAGTAATAGCTCGGCCTGATGCACCAGATAAAATGAGAAAAATAGAGTTGGGGGAAAAAAATAATCTCTTGGTTATTATACTATTTGAACTTTTGATTTTCAAATTTTTTAATAATGAGTTCTTTAGTACACACTTAGGGATTTCATGGAATGATATGAGGATTTACTTAAGAGTCATCACGCAGAGAAAACTGGAGCTTGAAGAGGTTAAATTTAGTATCGAATCCTGCTAAAATGGCAAGAAATTGATATATATGGTCATACCGTATACGTCACAAACGCCAAAAGTTGATTAGTTCACATCAAGTTATTGGTTTCTACCGGTTTTTTACAAACCGGTTCCACCACTAGACCACATATCCTATAGGTATTATAGTCTTATAGCATAGTATAAATATATAGTAGTTTAAAAAAGGCGATTAACGATACACAAAGCAAAGCAAAAATCAGCGATTAGCTATCGATATAAAAATTAAAACCGAAACATATAGGTATTTCTTTCTAAGAAATTCTATTTGTTGTTTTTTAATGTTTTGTCTTTCTTTTATTTTGTTCACCATGGACATCGGACGATAATAACGGATAATAATCATAGAGTGATCACACTTATTATAAGTTTGTGATTATAACACTAATCGGTGAAATAAAAAAAAAAAAAGTGTGCAGTTTACATGCGGTAGAAGTGAAACCTTCAAATGAAATTAAATATAAAATAATTTCACAGCAAATGATTTATTTAATATTGATCATTTTCAATCTCAAGTGTGGCATAAAATATAAGATAAAAGTTTAATTTTATATCAAATAAATGTTACAATCCTTATCTTTAGACTTAATATCCAGTCACTAGATTCTAGTGTATCGAATAGTGGAGTTCTAAGAATATCTACTACCCTATATCATCCCGTGGGTGTCGTAAGAGGTGATTGAGGCAAACAAATCAGGAGACGGGCAGCGGCGTCTTCCTAATACCGACTAAAAATAAAAATCTGTAGTTGCCAACCCACTTGCCAAGCGTATCAACTATGACAAATATGAGACAATCTATGTCTATGGAGTAGGCCTATGTAGCAGTGGACTATAATCTGTATAATAGAATAGAATATTTTTTTATTCAATATTGATTATTACATAATACTTATTGAAAGTCATTTTTTATTTACCACTGGTTCGGAAAATACCTCTGTCCTGGGAAGAGACAGCAAGAAACCCAGCGGGACTTTTTTTTTTCAAACATATTTCACTTAACAATAATTTCGTTTATACAATATTTAAATGATTTTTATAGAACCAGCATGGTGGCGATCCCCTTATTCGCAGGGGTTATTTTCATTCATGTATTCACTTACTATTGTAACGGTAACTTTAGTGTAATAAATCCATCGCCATCTTCTTCATTAGAATAGAATAGAATAGAATCATTTTTATTCAATATAGATTACAGTAATACTTATTGAAAGTAATTTTTGTACTTTTAGCACTGCTTCGGAAAAAAACTTCTGTCCTGGAAAGAACCAGCAATAAACCCGGAGGGACGTTTTTTATAACCACAATTTACAATATAATATTTTATAAAATTGTTATGAAAACATTGTACCGCCAAAGATACAAAACGGCAACGTCGCGGCTTTTATCAGCCAATCCGATCGTTTGTTGTGCTCTGATTGGCTCATTTAAATCAGATCAACATTTTGCGTAACTATCGTAAGGTGGATTTGTATATCGGATCAACTTCAGCGAACGCTAGTAAGCAGTCCTGTGAGTGTAGATGTTGATCCGGACGGAGTTTAGTTCATCACTGGTAACATTAGTTACCAGTGATGCATATTGGATCAACAAAAGGCGATGGATCAACATACATTTTCGGATCAACAAAGTGCTCACATGAAGTCGCGTCAGATCAACATTTACCGTAAAGGGATCTATAACATATTTATACATCTATAACATGTTTATGTATATGTATATGTATATATATATATATATATATATATATATATATATATACATATACATTATATCATCCGTAGATATTATATATATATATATATATATATATACATAAACATGTTTTTAAATTACCCTTTCTGCTCGTACTCTTAAGTTATGATTTTAAATAAGAAAACTGTAATTAGCTTTAATTTAAGACTAACTATTATTGTAATCATGCAGTAGTTTTCTAATAAAGAAATAAAATAATTTATCCCACTGCCCCACATTCGTCGAATAGCATGGGAAGAAGAGAGGAGAGAAGGCACATAAGTAGTGTGGCAACAATACTCGTCATGCTGCACGTCATGCTCCTCGTCTGCTCATCGCTCCCGGTTTTGTCGGTTTTTTTGATACGAGTCAAAGGACTGGCAATATGATTGCGAGTGGCTGGCCACATGATCGTGCCAACATGTGTAGTATTCTCTTAGTAGTAGTAGTCTTTTTTTATTTTAATTTTTATAAATATGTTGTCTTCAGTGATCTCATAAAAGCTAGTGCCTTTCTAGAGTAGATAAGAGTGATAAATAGGTTTGTTTGAAAGAAGTGTAATGGGTCCATCATACACGAACATTGACGTATTGACCCTTCTGGTTCCATTACTCGTTCTGTGGTTCTTTAATTCATCCGGGATTTCTCTTTTATTAGATCGTAATGTCCCCACAATTGTTAATTTGTAAGGTTGTCGAAGTAACTGTTTTGCAAGTGGTACTGAGGTGAACCAGTTGTCCATGGTAACGTTTCTGTTCGTGCCGTGTATACTGCGAGTAAGTTCCTTTACAAAGTACTCTCCTAAAGGTAAACCATCTGTATAGGTTCCTTTTCCAAGATACGGCATACAGTCCAGCATATACCTTGTGCCACTGTCACAGATCATTTCTAACTTGACTCCATACTTATTGGTTTTATTCGGAATATACATCCGGAATTTGCACCTCCCTCGGAATGCCAGCAGCTGCTCATCTATGGTAACATTTGTTCCAGGAACATAATTTTGACGGCACTGAACCATAAACAATTCCCATATATCCCTTATGGGCGTAAAGGGATCGTCTTTTTGCCGTTGTAAGCGAAATGTTTTATCGTCGAAACGTAGACATCGCAGAAGGAAATCGCACCTCTCTTTACTCATACACGATACATATCTTGTACCAGAATATTCTGTATTGAACAGTTCATCAAGGGTC